ACATAATCGAAATAGAGACTCCTGATAGTGGACATTTATGTTCACAGATCCTTCTAGTTATAAGATTTACAGACTTTTTAAAAAATTTTTAAGTGTTTTATTTATTTCTGAGAGAGAGAGAGAGAGAGAGAGAGAGACAGTGTGAGCAGGGGAGGGTCAGAGAGAGAGGGAGGCACAAAACCCGAAACAGGCTCCGAGCTGGCTGTCAACAAAGAGCCCGAGGTAGGGCTCCAACCCACGAACCGTGAGATCATAACCTGAACCAAAATCGGACGCTTAACTGACTGAGCCACCCAGGCGCCCAAGATTTACGGGCTTTAATGAACTGCCAAACCAAACCTATTTTAAAATGATAATAAATGGGGAAGCCAAGTAGGAAATCCAGGTGATAAAAGCCACTTGTTATTCAAATGAATCCCCTCTCCCCAGGCTGCGGTGTAAAGAAGCTAGGAAGGGGCTTGATGAAAGGAAAATAAAAGTTGTAGTACAAACAGGTCATCTCTCCCTAGAAATTTAGGAGGAGTAGCCATGAGGAAACTAGTTTTGATTCGTGTGGAAGGGAGGGCAGTGCCCCAAAAGCTGCAGGACCGATCGCCCACATCACAGCCTTATTTAATCCACATGGTTAGCCTGGAAATGAGTAGCAGGTCATTGTGAAATTAATCAGGTTGTGACTTGAATTGGAGCTGCCATTCCATATGATGTTTTTTTTTTAGAGCAAATCAATACCATCCCTCGTACCTGGTAAGTGGCAGTTTGTTCCACAAATGCTCTTTTCTCTATTGCAATCAGCAGAGATGACCAGAATCAGCTGGCCTTCATCTGGTGGGGGAAACAAGTACAGCTTTAGTGCGTTGCCTCAGGGCTATGGGTTCTCTGTCTCTTTGTCATCGTCTAGGGTGAATGGAACTTGATTATTGCAAAGATCATGGTGAACATCATGCTGGTCCATTGTATCGAAGACATAATGCTTACCGGACCTGGTGATCAAGGGGTCGTTGACACACGTCTGCCTGAGGACAGGAGATAAATCCCCATGAAAACTCAAAAGCCTGACCCTCAGTAACAATTTGAGGCCGTCGGGACCACACAGGGTGTTCCGCAAGTTGCAGCACCTTGTGCTCTGTGAAAAGGAGACAGAGCAGTTGGTGGGGCTCTTTGAATTCTGTAGGCAACATATACTACACTTAATTGTTTTACACCTGGGGCACCTGGTTGGCTCAGGTGGTAGAATTCAGGGTCGTGAGTTCGAGCCCCATGTTGGGGTAGCGTTTACTTAAAAACAAGTTGCAAATCTGGCTTACACCAATGTATTCAACAGGCAGTCCATGGGGCTGCCTGTTTTCAGCGGCACTGAGGGTAAGGAGAGAATCTGTAGCAGGTCCAGGCCACTTGACCTTTATCACCAAGTAGATGCAAAACAGATAGAGCCTCCCACACACTGGGAGGCTACGTGGAGCCTCTGACAGGTCTAATAGGAGAAAGATGCAGTGGACTGTTGGAGTTTTGAAGCAAATAATGCATTCTACCACAAAATAAGTACAGGAAAACCTTGGTTTGCGAGCATAATTCATTCGGAAACATGCTTGTCATCAAAGCGCTTGTGTATCGAAGTGGATTTTCCCATAAGAAATAACGGAAACCCAGATGATTCGTTCTACAACCCAAAAGTATTCATATACAATGATTACGATACTATAATACAAAATAATGAAGAAAATACAAAACATAAAGAAAAATAAACAAATTAGCCTGTTCTTACCTTTGAAAACGTTTGTGGCTGGTGTGAGGGCGACGAGAGAGGAGGGTTATTGTGTAGGACGACTTTCCCGATTACTAACGAAATCACTGCTATCTATTGGTTTGATGGAACCTTCTTCTGCGTGGGCGCCATTGTATACACTTGTATGGATGTTGACTACAGTATAGTATTAATAGAGTCTTGTCATACAATGTATTTAATGTAACTGGCAATAAGGCAGCAGAGGAAAGAGTCTCTGTCTGCAGGCAGCCTGACCTAGAAGGAAGCAAAGCATTCGTAAGCTTGCTTTTGGATGGAAAAGCAAAGGACTGACAACAGGTGTTTTGAAGTGACAAAAAATGCACCAGTGCCAGTGGAGGGCACTTTCCAACGTTCTGAAAAATCACTGATTTCTGCCAAATACTGCAGCCTGAGACTGAGCATCATCGGAGCCTGGGAGATAATCACCCATAATCCTGCAGAGAGAGAGAGAGAGAGAGAGGAAGAGAGGGAGAGAGAGAGAGACAGAGACAGAGAGACAGAGAGAGAAGGAGAGAGAGAAAACTATTAGCTCACTTGTGATCGTGTGATGTTCAGCATCATGTACTCCCTGTATTGCAAGACAGCAGTCATTTATCCAGTTAACATTTATTAGAAATGTCTGCTCGTCTTGTGGAACACTCACAGAACAAGTTACAATCCAAGGTTTTACTGTATTTTCCTGTTTGATCAATAGCTTCTGGTTTGCTCCTGGGCCGTGGTAAAGTCTGAATGCCGGACCACGGAGCAGCAAGGAACCAGGGAATGTCAGCTGCCCCTGATAACTGGGTGGTAACTGACCATGTACTGCAAGTGGAGTATTTGAGATCAGACTCAAGCAGGTCTGGAAGGTACAAGAAAGTTGTTCAGGCAGGTGGCTCACATGTCTGTGGTCCCCTCTGCTGACTGGCCCCCCTTTCCTTTGACTGGCACCTGTAGCCTCACAAGGAGTTCTCCACGACTAGGTACGTTGGTCCAAGTTTCCGAGGAGAGCAAATGGTAGACTCCGTGGGTTGAACTGAGGAGAGTATAAGGGCATTTTTTTTACAGAGGTGGGAGCAAAGTTAAGGGAATCAGCAATGAGTGTGAGGCTCCCAGGGAGTGGCATCAGTTGATATGGTCACAGCCACTGCCAGTGTCGTGTACTCAACCTGCCCACAGTCGGGAAAGCCCCCAATAAGGTAGCGTTCCCTGGGGAGACCAGCCAGCCACCTGGAGACAGGAGGAGGTTGTGTCTTACAGGATGACGGATACACTTCGAACTGATGACCAGTCGACGGTGCTGTGTCCCCATGGCCAGAATGCCTGGTTCAGGAATCAAGAGGTGGAAGTGGGGGTGACTTCTGTCACTGTCACCCATAATCGACTCAGCCGGGGTGTCTTTCCAGCCCCACAGCTTCGAGCTCTGCTGGTTCCCAAGGGAAGAGTGCTTGCACTTGGGTCAGATTGGTTCCATTGAACTGTAGGTTGAGGTCACCATCTGGCCATTTAGGGCTCATTGTGCCACCGAGCCAGCCAACTGGCAAACTGTGGGTCTGCTGCGCCAGCTGGGGGGGTGTGATATTGTTGGCTAGAAAGTGGAAAGCCTTGCTGTTAAACAATGGGATGGTGACAGACTAAGTGTGGGCTTCCCCAGGGATCCTCTGGGGCGGGTCCTACTATAGTTTCTGTAGGGAGGCCCCCTGAGAATTCAGACTTGGTGGCATAAAGGTTTGGGTCACTCATGAGGTGAAGAATTCTGAGCAGCCGAGTTCTTGGCTGGAGGCTGACGGGAGGACAGAGAGGGTAGTGGAAGAAGTAAGGTATTAAAGATCGATTATGATGTCAAGACCAGTTACAGAAATAAGGATTGTACTCTGCGTGTGTGTGTGTGTGTGTGTGTGTGTGTGTGCCGTGCGCACATAGCAACTTTCTGAATTTTCTTTATATATTTTATACATGTGAAAGAAAGGCTGATAGAGCTTAGCTTTATACTGTTTTTCTTCAGGTTGTTAAGATACGAAGGTGGGGCGATGCCTGAACTAGCAGAGGCATGGTTGTGCACTAGAGATGGCTATGAGGAGCGCTGCAACTTATGTGTCCTGTTTACGAGTGCTTTTCAGTTTCTAGAAGGGACAGCACCATTATTTGGGTGGAAGCAAGTTTGTTGTTTCAGTAGGTTTATTTTGTGCATCTGGATTTCTCGATGTGCATTGGGTTTGGCTCAGTCTGATCCAGTAGCATGAGATTTGGGGGGCAGGAGAGGCGTGAGGGATTGCGCTACAGGTGAGGGTGACATGGGCTCTGAGAGCTGTGAGTGCGAAAGCAGCTGGAGCCCAGCTTTGTGCCAGTGATAGCGTCTGGGTGATGTGACCTTGGAGCCCAGACTCGGGGGCAGCCACACCTACATCCCTAAATTAAGCCATGTTTTGTCTGAAACACGCGCAGTACATTCTGTTTCCTCCCTGAAACACTGAGTGATTACAGAAGCACAAATGAACGCCCCCACGTAGGAGAGCCATCCCTCTCCGGAAGTGTCCGGTGTGAGGTAGCATGCCGCGGAGTGGGTGCGTCCGTGTTGGCAAAGTCCGTCAGTCCTGCACCCTGCCCGGTGATGCCTAGTTGCGTGGCTTTGTCCTGGTTCCCGTTTTGCCCGCGAGCACCACTGAGGCAGGCCCGTTACTTCAGGTGCTTGGGCGTGTGCCACACGATCGTGCGTGGAGTGCCGAGTGCTCGGCGTTCTAGTAGTGAAGAAGGTTACTTCACTGTCGTTATTGCCCGAGGGCGTGTGAATCGCTCCTAGCCGAAAGACAATGATGTTTGGGGGAGGGGCGCACGAGAGCCTGACCACGGGGAGCCTGGGGTGGGGGTGGGGGGTGGGAGGGGAGCCCCCGCTTTCCTTCCTGCCTGAGCGGGCTCCCCACCCCTCACCCCCGCAGGTGCGGGTCCAGGGCCGCCGGCTGCCGTCGCCCCTGGGATGGGGGACCGGGAGACACCGCGCGCTCGCTCGAAGGGTCTCCCCCACCTTCTACCCCGGGCCCAGCCGCCGTCCCATCACGCCGTCAGGGCCGCGGGCAGCGGCGCCGTCCCCTCCCGCCCCCCGGGGGCGGGGGTCGCGGCGGGGGCTCTGGGCGGCGCCGGGGCGGGCGGGGACACTGGGCCCGCCCCGCCGGCATCCCCGGCCCGACTTCCTCCTGCCGCGGCGACCCAGCTGGAGGAAGCAGCGGCGGCGGCGGCCACGATGAGCGCGGGGGACGCCGTGTGCACGGGCTGGCTCGTCAAGTCGCCCCCCGAGAGGAAGCTGCAGCGCTACGTGAGTGGGGGCGCCTCCGGGCCGGGTCGGCTGGCAGGTCGAGCCCTGCGCCCCGCGGTCGGGCCCGGGGACCCGCGGGGCCGAGAGCGGGGAGGGCGGCCGGGAGGCCGGGACGGGGCCGCGACGGGGCCGGGCCGGGGCTGGGCGGGCGGGACGGGACCCCGCGCTCTCCCCGCGCGCCTTCCGGGGCGCGCTGTCGCGGGGCCGTCGGCGGATGCCCCGCTTCTGGAGCCTTCCGCAGTGGCGCTCCCGGGTGTCTCGGGGTCGCCTCCCAGCGCTTTGTGCTGACACCGCGCTTTCCGAGGAGCAGCAGGAACCCGGACTTGGGCTACATGTGGTGTAAAACACGGGGCGCTACTCCCGTTAGCAGCGACACGTGCCGCCCACCGCCCAAAACGTCATGGGCTCCGTCAGCGCCCCCGGGACGAGGTCTGGGAACCTTTGGGCCCGGAGACCTGACGGCGGCCGAGTGATCTCCGGCCGATAGGAAGAAGGACGTCGGCCCGCTGGGGTTGCACAGACAGAGCCATCAGGGCCTCTGGGCCGTTTAGGGGCCGGCGGTGGTGTCCCGGGTCCACCGCGTTCGCCACTCCCCACTTCCCCGCCACTGCCCAGCAAGCTGCGACGGACGCGGCAGCCCACCCCAGACGCCGCGCTCCCAGACCGCCGTCCCCCCGGCTCTGCCTCATGTCTCCATTGTTTCTCTTCCCATGGCTACGAGGCGCCTACTGTGTGCCACCGGAGGGCGCGGAATTACAAAGAATTTAGTCATGCGCGAATACTTCCACAGTGGGTGACAGGACCCTTTTCTGAACATAAAGTTACTCAGGGCCACTTTCCCCATTGACACTGAACTAGACAGCGGGACTCTTATGAGTCTTCCAAAAGTGTTGTTATTTGTTCTGCAGAGCAACGTTAAATTTTTTTAAGCTTTACGTATTTGTTTCATATCTTAGTAATTTTTAAGCGGTTTTTAAATAAGTAACCTGTACCCTCAACCGTCAGGCTCAGACTTACAATGCCAAGTTCAAGAGTCACATGCCCTACCCCGGGAGCCACCCAGGTGTCCCTCTAAGGAACAACATTTTCCAGGACTGTTACTCTACTTCCCATGTAGGGAAGTCTGTATACCCAGATTTTTCAGGTTAACTACCGGGGTGCCCTTTCTTTGTTCTTTCTGAGTCCCTCTTCAATAAACACAAGCTCCACTATTTCTCAGATTGCGAATCATTCACCTGCTTCCCCAACAGTGCAGCTACTAGCACTCAAAGGACACAAGACCAGGAAACCTGTCCCCCGAGCCTTGGACGTGCAGGTGACGGTTCCGGTGCCTTTCCTCGAGACACTTTGCTGTGTGACACATTTGAGAGGCTCACTAGATCTTTTTAGAGCTGCACTCACTCTCATGATGATTTGTGATGATTCACGTAGTGCTCCTCAGAAACACTTTATGGAAGATTTTTTGTAGTCTTTTGCACCATGTCCTGACCACACTGCCTTACAAGAGGTTATTAGAACTTCATCAATTTCAGGAACGCATGGGTATAGACCTTCCACCGTATGCAGTTCATTCTTTTTGGCTGTAATGAAGTTGTGGCAAGCGCGTACTTCACTCAGTTTATAGGTGTGCAGGTCATCTGATGATGGGTTGCCAAAGCGGGAGATCTAAGACACAGGGGTACCGAGATGTCATAGTACCAACACTCCAAGACGTGCACCCTGACCTTGTACCCGAGGCTTCTGAAGTTTTTCTGAGGCTCACTCTCTTTTAGATAGGCAATGCCGTTTTGTTTAAAGTCAGCCTGGAAGTTCATCTCTGCGGATCCCTAGCTTCGGCAGGAATCCCTTGTTGCCAGTAGATGGCAATCATGGGTCAATTCCCTGGCCCGACGATACTCCCCAGCCACCTTTAATTCCCATCTTGTCAGGAATACTAATTCTTCACCTCGCTCCAGCGCCAACTCTGAATCAAGACCCGTGTCGCAGGGCTAGAGAGACAGAGAAAAAACACTGATCCCTGTTTCTAACATTTGTAACACACTATAGTGACACAGCCAGGGCAATGACTCAGTTCTTTGCTGCGCTGAGGCCAACGCACAGCACTCCGTTAATGTTTGTTAAATTACACATGGAAGTTGAGTCTATTTTTAGGTAAATATTTCAGTCCAAGGTAAGCTCCTACTTCATCCTCTTGAATCCACAACCAAGGCAATCAGAAAGTTATTTTTATCACTGATCTTTTAAAAGATAGTTGATTCTTTTCTTTCATGTATTTTTCTAATCAAAATACAGGAATATATTCTGGTAAAGATTCAAACAGTCTATGAATAAATAGAATAAAAAGTGAAAGACCGCCTCTCTCAGAAGCCCTCCTGATTCTGCTCCCCTCCCTAGGGATAACAACTGTTAGCAGTTCCGTGAATATCATTCTATAAACATTTTTTGAGAACATATCTTATTTTTGCACAAATGAGATACTATACAAATTGTCCTGCAATTTACTTTTTTCACAGTTCTGGACATCTTTCCAGATTAGTACATATAAATTCACTTCGTTTTTTGTAAACCACTTCCTAATATTTTTTGTAATAGATATAACGTAGTTGAATGGGTTTTCTATTGACGAACATTTCTCTCTTGTATTCTCAATTTTATTTTATTTAAATTTTTCTGTTTATTTACTTATTTTGAGAGAGATAGAGAGAGAGACAGTACAAGCAGGTAAGGGATACAGAGAGAGGGAAAGAGACAATCCCAAGCAGGTTCCACACGGTCAGTGCGGAACCGGATGCGGGGCTGGAACTCATGAACCATGAGATCAGGACCCAAGCCCAAATCAAGACTTGGACACTTAACCCATTGAACCATCGAGGCGCCCCATATATTCTCAACTTTAAAGAATGTTGTAATGAAAATGATAACGAATGATAAGAATTCACATTGATTTATTTAAAAAAATTTTTTTAATGTTTATTTTTGAGAGACAGAGAGACAGAGTGTGCGTAGGGGGGAGGGGCAGACAGAGAGGGTGACACAGAATCGGAAGCAGGCTCCAGGCTGCGAGCTGTCAGCATGGAGCCCGACGCAAGGCTTGACGCGAGGCTTGAACTCAACGAACTGTGAGATCATGACCTGAGCCAAAGTCAGACGCTTAACTGACTGAGCCACCCAGGCACCTCTAGAATTCACATTTATTGAATGGCTTGTGTGTGGCATGCATTCAGCTGAGGACTTGACTTGTGCGGTCACATTTAGTTTTCTAAACCGTGCCAAGAGCCAGGTACCCCTGGATGCAAGGTCTTTGTGGGATCTATAATTTGCATATATTTTCTAACTGCCTGTAGTTTGTCTTTTCATTCTCTCTGGAGTATCTTTGTAGAACAAGGGTTTTAAAGTTTTGATCACATTCCGTTTATCAGTTTTTCTTTTATGGATTGATCACCTAGCCCTAGGTCCTGAAATTTTTTCTATGTTTTTTCCCTAAAAGTTACACAATTTTATCTTTGATATTTAGGTCAATGACTCACTGGAGTTGAATGTTGTCAATGGTGTGGGACTTACATCGTGATCCATATTCTTTCACCCTTATTCCTTTTGTAGACTATCTTTACTCTGCTAAATCACTTTTGCAACTTTGTGAGAAACCAATCGGTTGTATTTCTGTAGGTCACTGTGTTCTCTAGTCTGTTACATTGATTTCTTTCATCATCTTTATGCAAACACTATGTGGTTTTGATGCCAATACCTTTATAATAATTCGTCAAGTCAGGCAGTTTTAGTCCTTCAACTGTTTCTCTTTTCAGGGTGGATTTGGCCCTCCTAGGTTCTTTGCCTTTCCGTATCAGTTTCAGAATTAGTTTGTCAGTTAATTTCTGCATATTAACGTTGCATCCGACAACCTCGGTAAGCACACATAGTTACTTCTGGTCGCCTTGTTTTTAGTTAGTACCTGTGTCACTGCCAGTGTTGCCTAGAAGTGATGAGAGCAGGCATTGGGGACTTTTTCCTGATCTTAACGGAGAAGCGTTTAGTCTGTTACCTTTTAAGGCTGTGGGCTTGCTGTAGTGGCCTTTTATCAGGTCAGGGAAGTTCTCTTGTATTCTAGTTTGCTGAGACTTTTTTTTTTTTTTTTTTTAACAAATTGGATGCTGTTTCATGATGGTGACTTATTCTGAAAGATATTGAACAGTATCACTATTCCTTTTTCCTTAAATCTTTGGCAAAACTCACCAGTGAGATCATCTGGGCTTGGACTTTTCTTTGTGAGATGTTTATTGTTTGTTTCTTTGTCTTAGATTTTTTTTTTTTTTTTTTAAGAGAGAGCGCATAAGCTGGGGAGAGGGGCAGAGGGGGAGAGACAGAGACAGAGACAGAGAGAATGAATCTGAAGCATGCTCTCTGTCTTTGCAGATGTGTGTTTTCTGGTCATTTCGTAGGAACAGAACCACGGAGCGTGTGCTCTTTTGTGTTGCCGTCTTTCCCTCTGCAGCAGCCGCACAACAGCCAGCTCTCTTCCTGAAACGCACGTAAGGCAGAACCTCGGATTGGATTTGAGACCTTTCTTTTCTTCTTCTTCTTCTTCTTCTTCTTCTTCTTCTTCTTCTTCTTCTTCTTCTTCTTCTTCTTTTAAAGACAGCATGAGCTGGGGAGAGGGACAGAGGGGAGAGACAGAGACACAGAGAATAAATCTTAACCAGGCTTTATGCTCAGCACAGAGCCCAACAAGGGGCCCACCCCACCCTCCTGGGATCATGACCTGAGCCAGAATCTGTGCACTGAGCTCAATGCAGTATTCCACTCCGTCTGCCCTGGTTTCTACAGGCAGCTTTAGTGTGGTGCACACATGCGCACACTGCAGAACTCCCCCACTTGAACATGTAGCCGGGTGACTTCTAGTAAACCTCTTCTTGTGCAATCACTACTACAGTCCACTTCTGAACCGTTTCTGTCCCCTCAGAAAGTTCCCCGGGGCTGTTTGCAGTCAATCCTCACCCCCATCT